TAACAAATCAGAAATATCTGTACAAATTTAGTTTTTTATATTAAATTTTTGAAACATATTCTAACTTTTTTCTCCAAAGATTTTCATATGTAAAATTTACAGTAAAATATTTTGTTCTCCCCTCTCCCTTTGTGGTTGTACCCTATCATGACCCCTGTGATCGTCATCATCAAATTTGAATGTACATTATATGAATTTACATTTCAGAAAACCTCTCTGGTGAAATAGGTTTGGAAAAGAAAATTCATAAAAAAATTTCCTATAAATACTCCCATGGATACCCCTCCCCCATTGTGGCCCCACCGTACCCCCAAGGGTCATGAAAGGTCATGATAAGATTTAAACAAAATTAAGAATGCTTCCACATAAGTTTCAACATTCCTGGCCAAAAGGTTCTTGAGGAGAAGATTTTTAAAGATTTTCCCTATACATTACTAAAATTTCAACCCCCATTGAGGCCCCACCCTACCCCTTGGGGTCATGAATTAAACAATTTAGAATCTACACTACCTGAGGATGCTTCCACATTAGTTTCAATTTCCCTGGCAAAAGGGTTCTTGAGAAGAATATTTTTAAAGATTTATCAAAAAATTTCAATATTTCTTAATTATCTCCCCTTGAAAAAGGGCGTGGTAGTTCATTTTAACAATTTTGAATCTCCTTCACCCAAGGATGCTTTGTGCCAAGTTTGGTTGAAACTGGCTCAGGTGAGCTAAAAAATAAAACACATAACATTTGTTGAATCATAAAAGATGAAAAAAACTTTCAAATTGGTTACTATTTATTTCGAATTTTCAATAACTATAACAGGTTTAAACACAACTGAAGCAAACATATTGTTTCCAAAAATCGAATCAAAATTATTCAAAAACCGAGGTTTGGGTTTTAATCGAATCGATTCAAAATATTACTAATTCAAGGATATTACATTAATTTTTATCAAAACAGACAGTCATGAGAGCATTTTCTTATATCATATATTTGATAAAGTACATTTGATATTCTTAATTTTTATTATGATCTCTTGAACAACCAGTATGTGTTTTTTTTTTTTTCTTTTTCTGTTTTTCCGGAGGGGGGGGGGTATTTGCAATATAATCTGTTCTGCTTCACATCTGCTAAATTGTGCTATAACCTGTGTACAAATAAAGTATACGTATTAGCAGTGCTTATAATAACTCTTTTATTGTTGAGGTCACATTTTGAACAAGTTGAGACCTGCAGTGTTAAAACTGTTACAAAATTTATTACACATTTAGTTTAATAACTGATTGTGTAAAAATACCAGCTTAGCACATTTCTTCATTTTCATTACTTTGCTTGATATGTATCAGCAGTGCTCAACTCTTTGTTGTTGTCATATTTTCAATAAATATCCATAATTTCTTTTATTAAATTTGTTTGGAAAGGTGAAATTTATGTAAACTCCGGCGTGATTCAAACTCATGACTTGATTTATAGCTAAACTTGGGGTCAAACCCATTCTGCGCCACGCCGTTACGCACCAATGTTAAGAACAAAAAAAAAAAAACAAAAAACAAAAAACAAAAACAAAAAAAAAAACAGAATTATATTCACATTCATTGTTTATTTCAAAAGTACCTTACAATATGAATGTGTCGATGTATCTATTTTGTAAATGTCCGATATGCACATGGATGCATTCATAACAATGTCAACCCGTGCACGCACGGGTCAAAGTCTAGTATGTATATATATATATATATATATATATATATATATATATATATATATATATATATATATATATATATATATATATATATATATATATATATATATATATCATTATCTAAGACCAGCAAGACTATACCAACACAACAGGCATGACATACCTGGTCCCAGGAACCAAACTGGAAAAATTAGCACTAACAAAATATAGAATTAGAAATGAAAGTAACCTTGTTTATTGGGCACGTTGTTACAAAAAAAAGTTATACGTCTTATTTGAGCAGAGGGTGATGGAACTGAAATATTTTCCTACATTCTTTTTTATTTTAGAATAGGAGAATAATGCATCGCTCTGTGAGACTTGAAAGGAGTTTTAGCTATAAAATATTCGACTATTTTAGAACTTATTTAGAAGAGGAGAATATTGCATCGCTCTATGAGACTTGAAAGGAATTTTAGCAATAAAATATTCGTGTTAACGCCTATCAAGCTATGTAATATATATTGTGCCCTCACAATTGTGCCTTTCTGAACACTCATCGAAATATTGTCGACCATATAGACAATTTATACCAGTGTAAGCATTTGGGAGTTTTATTTTAATTCTGGTGAGCCATTGTAGTTAATTGTTGTACATTTTATATATTAAAAAAATTCAAATGTTTGGTGTTTCAGTATTTCTGCTGGAGAAAGGGGCTCTTTTTTTTTTTTTTTTTTTCCTCTATTTTATGCTGTGCATAGAAAAGATTGGTAAACTTTTTTGAAGAGCTGTCGGGATCCTTTCTTTTGACAGAAATTGTTACTTTTTTCATTTTTAAAAACATTTACTTGATGATCATTTTTTGAACAGTTAATGATCATCTTAGGCGTCTTAATACCTGAATTGGATATCAAGTTTCTGAACTTGTACAAGTTTTTTTTTTATGAACTACCAAAAAAGAGGTTTGTTCTTAAAACAGACGACTCTGATGGAGACTGTTGTTTATATGGTTTAGATGTGAATCGATTAGTGCATATATATATAACGAATTAAATTCGTTAAAACGAATTCTTAAATTTCATATAACAAATTAGTGTTACAAAGTAACAGGTAATTAAATCTAAACGAAATTACATATGTTTCTACAATATGCATTTGCTTTGTAACTTCTGCAAATATTGTATAGTTTAAATCTGCATGTTTATCTGTGACTTAATTTAAAACTTGAGATTTTTATGCAGGGAGAGGGTGAATAATTAATAGTTTTAGAACTTGTGTCTAATCCCTCTGTAATTATAAATAACAATTACTAGTATGTTCAAACCAATAAAATCCAGGTCGCTATTTGCCACATCTATGGTATACAACTAGAAAACTTTTCAAAGTAACAATATATCTCAAAATGATATGTCAAGTGAAGGTCACAGAGTGATGGCCAGTGGTCAAATTCGCGGTGGAGACATCTTTTTTTATTATTGATAAAAAAAATCTAGTGATAAAAGTGTTGAAGATTGTGCATAAGAAGAACGAATAACTGCATCTTTTATAAGTATTTACCATCTACAATTAAAGTTTGGAAGGCCCAATCTTTTTTAAAGCCCCATCGATCTAGATAGAAGATGGATTATTATAAACTATTTGATTTTTTTCTTTAGGAGGCAATGCGCGATAACTCGCATGAAAATTTAACAGCATTTTAATACACAATATTTTAGAAATTTGAATCATTTACCACCAAAATAGGTTACCATTTTTTTTTGTTTCTATCATTTTCCTTAATGAAGTATAATGAATATTCAGTATATGTAAATAAAGTATAAGTTTTTAATTCATAAATATAATTATGTCAAAATCAATATTTTGAAAAGGAATATACTGAATATATACAAGTACTTAATTACGCGCATCTCTTTTTTTCTTGATGCAAAATGTGGCCTCCATTGCGGATACTACTACATGTTATACTCTACACTTCAAATGAACCCCCCCCCCCCCCCGATATGTCTCATTTTATTTCCGACTTGAGTTTATACATGTAATTGCAAAATGAGGAGAATATAATCAACGAGCTTCTAAATAAACGAAAATACATATGTACTTCTGCGAAGAGGATAGTTACTGCTAACTTCTCTTTAACCAATTTTTCTTCGCGGTCATTTTATTGGCAGCATTGAAGAAAATTGTGACGGTTATCATTACCAAAAATTATTTCTTTACTTTCCGAAAGAATATGAGATATCATTGCTGATTTTTTTTTTTTTAAATATGAGATATCGGTTTAGGCCTACATCAATGTGGGTATCCAATCCAGGAAAACAGTAAGCGAACGAACAACGGGTAAGAATCGCTTCTCTCGAAGTATGCCCAAGTCTATGCAAGTCATTCAAATATCTTCCTGATTTGGGACATTATCAATCAAAATTTCAGTTGAGTTCAGTTTTTTCGCTCAAACCATACATAATGGTACATGAGGAAAATAAAGTATAAATATAATTATCTACATGTACATCTTCACAAGCTTTGTTCCCCTTTACCCATAAAAGCTGTGAACAGAATTTGGTTGAAATTGGTTCAGCTATTCAAGAGAAGAAGCTGAAAATGTTCGAAATTTAACGGATGAACAACAAGGTATGATGTATGAGGACGGACAAACACAGATACTAGTAGGTTGAGATAGCAATATAGGTCAGCCGAGCGAATCAAAAACAGATAGCAATAGGTCACGTGAGTGGCTCAGGTGACCTGAACCTAGTCAAACCTTGTTATTTCGAACTCGATGGGACCGAGGAAAAACTTCGAGATATCCGAGGATTCAAGATATCCAGGGTAAAATACTTCAAAAATAAGGGGTTGGGACTTCCATATCACTTTGACATACGATCTCGTATCCATGATTTTCGAGATATCAGTGTTCAAGATACCAAATTTCGCAAAAATAAATATATATTGATTTGTGCTCGAATCTACACCCAAAAGGGAAGCTTACATTTTTTTTCTGACCCAGTCAGTGATGACAACCATTCACCCAATGTAAAACACTATACTTTGGCTTAGAAGAATGTATGCAAGGGCACATACTGCATATGTATGACATGAAGTGTTAAATTGGGAAAATGCTTTTATCAGCATCCTCATCTTTTTTCTATAAACTTTGTTCAAATGAATAATTTAAATGGACATAAAACATACTTTTGACCATTTACAGTAATTCATTAAAATTGCATGTATGGGAATTTGAATGAAGAATGATGTTTCTTGAAGTTTATAAAATAGAAGTTCATATATCTGTAAATCTGCACCCTCTGTTCACAGATAAAAGATATCAAAATTTATTGATTGTTTTTATTTTTTTCATAATTATTCACACTCATTAACTGTGCACAATATACACTAAATGCATATAACAATATATGCATACAAACAAAACATGTATTAAATGGTTATTTATCATAAACATTGGTGCTAACAAAAAATGTCCCTAAAAGGGGGAGTAACTTATCACCTTCATGAAATCACCTCAATGGGGAAACTTAAAAAACTTTATCAAAGGTGTACTTGTAGTAAAAATAAACAATCTACGGACATGATTACACATACTATTGAAAAAAAAAAGCTAAAAAAAAATTAAACAAAATATTGTTGTTTGAGTATTTGTCTTGCTTATATTCTACAACAATTTCAAGGCAAATGAATCATCACTTGGTCAAAAAAATACAAATCCATTGACAATCATAGGCTAAAATTTGAAATTCATTTGAAAACCAAATTTGTTTAAAATAGAAAAAATATACCCAAACTATGTTTTGAAACAATTAAAAAAGGTTTGAATTTATCACTAACTTCAATTAGTTAACAATTTCAAACATAGTTTATTAATACACTGGGGTATATTTTTCCTATAATATAGTCTGTATCCTTCACTTTACAACACTCAGCCTATGTCTTCGAAAAACTTGACGGGGAACTCAACAAGACAATGGGTACAAGGTGTGGGGAAGGGGAGGGGGGAGGGGGGGGGGGGGTGAAGGAAAGGTCAAGACTGTTAATATTTGATGTTAACTAAAACATTTAAATCCTACAGCATTAAGTAATGAGTAAAATGCTCATCATTTGATGTGCAGGTTTCGAAAAAGACCAAGTAATGCTTCGATTCCTTCTCATATTTCAAGTAATGTTTTGACTATAATAGAAGTAACCACAATACTGTTGCATCTTTAAGATGTTTCCCTCAAAACCTACAGATCTATTCCTTACTCATGATAACCTTGAAATAATGGTAGAATCTCAGCTAAAACCATTACAGCTCCAAAATTTAATGAAATTTTAAAACCATATCATTGTAGCACGATATATTAACATATGAGACTTGGTAAAGACCTTGAAAGTAACATTTGTGTACACCAGATACAAGGATTGACTTATTAGATTTAATTGTTGAAAATGCTTGTCAATTCACTTCTCGTTGGATACTTAAAAGAACTTGAAGGGTTACTAATAATGAAACATCAATTACGAACATGTGTGAAAACCCTGCAATGAATGTAAAAGCTCTTAATAAAAGCTGTGAAAAACAGTTTGTAATTGTAATTTAACAAGTGCTCAAATGACGAAGAAAAAGGTCCATTCTAACAAGTACAAATGTACGTGAAAAAAATAGTGAAAATGAAAATCTGAAATTCACAAACATGATAATCTAACAAACACAAAGTAAAATCTCCAGTGATTCTGGGATTTAACGTAATAAAGGCATATACCAACAGGCAGACATTCTCAGCAGAAAACAAACAAAATGACATTCCCACTCAACACCCAGCAAATGAAAGACATCTGAAAAAATAATTATCACAAATTCCAAGAAAATATACAATTTATAGGTGCACTTTCAAAACATCAAGTTCTCAATCTAGACTAGATTTTTAAAGAAAACATCTTAATTTTCTTAAATTTGTCTCAAATCTTTTTAAAACCATTTATCTGTGAGGAAAAATAAATGACAATGATAAAATTGGGAAATATAAAAAAAGGGGGCAGAATGCTATAAACTTATATCTGACTTAGCTGACAATCCAACATATAACAGAGGTATTTTTGATACTGAAGATAAATTATCTGCCCTTCATAATTTACAAATTTAATCAATATAGAATGTTTCTGTTGTTCAGTGATAACACAATATAATTCAATGTAACCCAATGGCTATATACTGCCTATAGATATGTTTAATATATAACACTGGCATTCCAAAATTTGGTCCATTAATTACAGAAGTTTACAGTATTAGCAAAAATTACACTTTACCGTTGTATAGATACAATTATTAAAAAAAAAACCTAATATAGATTTCCCTCTGCAAAAATATTAACAACCAGTTATTTGATGGATATAATTCAAGAAAAATAAAACTATAATGATAAGTAAACAGGAATCAAATGCACTTCAACTATTTTAAAAAAAGGAATACAATGCTAAAAGTCATTCCAAAACAAACAGTAATTAACTCTATGTGTACCCCACTTAAGGTTTTCTTCTAGACACTGAAAGAGCACACGAAAAACAAGAGTTCACAGCCATATTCCTATTGTTCCTGAGTTAGATTTTGGGTAACTTAGGAGCACTGACGACAGGGTTACTTTGTTCCAACAGCTTGCGTCCCTCCGTTTTATAGTCAAAAGTGCAATCGTGAGACTCAGCATAGCGATGTGTAGCACAGAAATTGTTTCCACACCTTAGAAAAAAAAACATTTTAGAATTCAATAATTTTAAAAAGAAAGTGGATGAAATAATAAAAAAAATTGTTGAAATGAATGTTAATGTATTTCCCCATCTGAATGTCAATATTCAAATTTCAGCAAGTAATTGTTTCAACATAACCAATAGAGAAAAATTATGCTTAAATAAAATAAAAACAAGTTATTTATACTGTATAAAAAAAGAAAAGTTTTTTCACACAGAATCTTGACCAAGACATCGACATCTATGCTGTATGTCAAATATTTAAATTTTGATGCTTTTCTTTTCAAAATGATACAATGCATTTCAAACAGTCAAACATCAAAATCTGAACATAAAAAAATTGTAGCCTGTTGTCCATGAATAGGTGACCTCCTGGCCAAAGGCCAGTAAATTTAGAAGTTTGAAAGTTTGCTTTTTATACACAATGGTTTGATTGATAAGTAATTTTTCAGTAGGCCTAATCTTTGCTGGTCAACAGAAACACACAGTCTTTGAAGCAACATTGAATTTTGAAGGCAGACTGACTGATAAAAAATGAAAAATTATTTCAAAACCTGCAAATGTCTGTTCCTGGTTTAAATTTGACAAAAAACAAATTTCTCTTGAGATTATTACCTGCATATATAGCTGGTGGCAAGGCCTGTTTTCTTGCCACAGACAAAGCACCGTTTGGCAGCCTTCTTTTTGGACTTTACTGGCGGAAGTCTATGTGAAGGGGACAGCATCCTTCCATCGCGACTGTTGACCCTCTGTAGATGGGCAGACTAAAAGTAAAATAAATCCTACTTATATCCTTCACTTATGAAAACCTGTCCTTCTCTTGTATCTAGAAATACATATATTTTTATTTTCAAACCAATGCATTGATAAACAGCCTATTCACAAAACCAAATACAGAAAAAGAATTCTCAGATTTATTTATACATGTATTTTGGAGCATAACATCTATTGTATTGCTCAATATCACAGAAAAAGGAATGACAACATACGCACTGGTTATAAGACCTAAGAAAACATTTTTTTTTACAGCTACCCAAATGACCTTCAAATTTTACTCCAACCCTTTATGCTTTCTTTTGACATACAATCAGAAAATGCATGTCTGTACATTTTCCTTTGAACATTATGTTTTATCAAAAAGTTCCCTATCAGTATCACTTTGTGAGAAATTGTTGGAAAGACCAAAATATAAAAAACATTTTTCAGCAAGAAAAGGAGTGAGCTTCATAAGTGGTCAGTTTTGTACTTCATGTTAAAACAAGAGGCCCATGGGCCACATCGCTCACCTGAGTAACTTTGGCCATGCTGTCCTTACCAGATTCCCCCCCCCCCCCCTTGTAATACCTATTGTGGCCCCGCCCTACCCCGGGGGGTCCTGTTTGAACAATTTAGAATCTACATTACCCAAGGATGCTTCCACATAAGTTTCAGCTTTTCTGGCCCAGTGGTTCTTGAGAAGAAGATTTTTAAAGATTTTTCCTATATATTTCAATGTAAAACTTGGATTCCCTATTGTGGCCCCGCCCTACCCCCGGGGGGTCATGATTTTAACAATTTAGAATCTACATTATCCCAGGATGCTTCCATATAAGTTTCAGCTTTTCTGGCCCAGTGGTTCTTGAGAAGAAGATTTTTAAAGATTTATTCCTCTATATGTCAATGTAAAACTTGGATTCCCTATTGTGGCCCCGCCCTACCCCCGGGGGTCATGATTTTAACAATTTAGAATCTATACTATCCCAGGATGCTTCCATATAAATTTCAGCTTTTCTGGCCCAGTGGTTCTTGAGAAGAAGATTTTTAAAGATTTATTCCTCTATATGTCAATGTAAAACTTGGATTCCCTATTGTGGCCCCGCCCTACCCCCGGGGGTCATGATTTTAACAATTTAGAATCTATACTATCCCAGGATGCTTCCACATAAGTTTCAGCTTTTCTGGCCCAGTGGTTCTTGAGAAGTAGATTTTTAAAGATTTATTCCTCTATATGTCAATGTAAAACTTGGATTCCCTATTGTGGCCCCGCCCTACCCCCGGGGGTCATGATTTTAACAATTTAGAATCTACACTACCCAAGGATGCTTCCACATAAGTTTCAGCTTTTCTGGCCCAGTGGTTCTTGAGAAGAAGATTTTTAAAGATTTTTCCTATATATTTCAATGTAAAACTTGGATTCCCTATTGTGGCCCCGCCCTACCCCCAGGGGTCATGATTTTAACAATTTAGAATCTACACTACCCAAGGATGCTTCCACATAAGTTTCAGCTTTTCTGGCCCAGTGGTTCTTGAGAAGAAGATTTTTAAAGATTTTTCCTATATATTGCAGTGTAAAACTTGGATTCCCTATTGTGGCCCCGCCCTACCCCCAGGGGTCATGATTTTAACAATTTAGAATCTATACTATCCCAGGATGCTTCCACGTAAGTTTCAGCTTTTCTGGCCCAGTGGTTCTTGAGAAGAAGATTTTTAAAGATTTTTCCTCTATATGTCAATGTAAAACTTGGATTCCCTATTGTGGCCCCGCCCTACCCCCGGGGGTCATGATTTTAACAATTTAGAATCTATACTATCCCAGGATGCTTCCACGTAAGTTTCAGCTTTTCTGGCCCAGTGGTTCTTGAGAAGAAGATTTTTAAAGATTTTTCCTATATATTTCAATGTAAAACTTGGATTCCCTATTGTGGCCCCGCCCTACCCCCGGGGGTCATGATTTTAACAATTAAGAATCTACACTACCCAAGGATGCTTCCACATAGGTTTCAGCTTTTCTGTCCCAGTGGTTCTTGAGAAGAAGATTTTTAAAGATTTTTCCTATATATTTCAATGTAAAACTTGGATTCCCTATTGTGGCCCCGCCCTACCCCCGGGGGTCATGATTTTAACAATTTAGAATCTATACTATCCCAGGATGCTTCCACATAAATTTCAGCTTTTCTGGCCCAGTGGTTCTTGAGAAGAAGATTTTTAAAGATTTATTCCTCTATATGTCAATGTAAAACTTGGATTCCCTATTGTGGCCCCGCCCTACCCCCGGGGGTCATGATTTTAACAATTTAGAATCTATACTACCCAGGATGCTTCCACGTATGTTTCAGCTTTTCTGGCCCAGTGGTTCTTGAGAAGAAGATTTTTAAAGATTTTTCCTATATATTTCAATGTAAAACTTGGATTCCCTATTGTGGCCCCGCCCTACCCCCGGGAGTCATGATTTTAACAATTTAGAATCTACACTACCCAAGGATGCTTCCACATAAGTTTCAGCTTTTCTGGCCCAGTGGTTCTTGAGAAGAAGATTTTTTAATGACCCCACCCTAATTTTGTCTTTTCTTGATTATCTCCCCTTGTAAGGGGACTTGGCCCTTTATTTTAACAATTTAAACTCCCCATCACCCAGGGATACTTTGTACCAAGTTTGGTTAAAATTGGCCCAGTGGTTCTTGAGAAGAAGTTGAAAATGTGAAAAGTTTACAGACGGACGGACGGACAGACGGACAGACGGACGGACGGACGACGGACAACGGGTGATCAGAAAAGCTCACTTGAGCTTTCAGCTCAGGTGAGCTAAAAATTAAAAATAAAAATCCTACCTACCGACCCTATTATTTTATCAGCATGTAAACAAAGTAAAGTAATCAAACATAATTTTTTTTTAAGCTTAAGCAAAAATATCAAGCATGGTTAAACTTTTGTCAATACAAAAATCTCTTCTTCCAAATAGAACTAATTTATTCCAAGTTGTATTCTAAAAATTGCTACACAGGCAGATCTATTGGTCATGCTTCTAGAAATATTCCAGTGTTTTTTTTTCTTCTTTTTTTGCTCTAGTACATACTAGCACTTTGTTGAATATTAAATTTTCCTTAAAGCATATCAATGAAGTCAAGTTAAAGACATACCAACAATCGTTCCTCTGGAGAAATAATCCTTCCTTCCTGACTTGTGCTCCCAAGTGCATAATTTCCAAGACGGGATTTACTTCCACTCGGCACAAAGTTGCCAATACGAGAAGATCCTATTTTTTCTAGGGATGCCTGCCTGAGGAGTCCGGACATAGCCCGAGCTTCACTTGTACTCAGACTTTCTAGGGTAAATTCTTTCCTCCGTTCCAGTCCTTTAAAACGTGAGGAGGTGGTAGGTCTCCCTAGAGATTCTTGGAAACTCTCTAAAGTCAAATCTTTATTTGATGCCTGGGGGCGTCCCAGGACTTCCTTAATATTTTCTATTGTGAGATCCCCTTTCAGTTTTTGTTTTGTTTTGGAAGAAGAAGGAGGCTGTAGAGTATCCTTGTAATTTTCTAGATTCACATCTTTCTTTTTTGTTTCCTGCAGACTGCTTAATCTGTGTAGGTCTCTCATTTTGGATGAAGGGGTACAAGTGTTAGAGCTTAGAAAATCTGATTTAATATTCTCACTATCCTCTCCCTCCCAGGACTTTACTCCCTCCCTCCACTCAGTGGTCAGTTGTGACTCATGCACGAGGCTACTATCTTCCTTAACACTGGAAAGAATCCCTAATCGGCTAGCACTAAGTTCCGTATTTTCTGCCATCATCTGGCGACTCCTACTTCGGGTTGATTTGGCACTATGGCTTTTATTGTGTTCAGAATTGGTTTCAAGTTCGTTATAATTTAACAAACCACTTCCTATGTTATGGTTTAGGCTAGCAGCCATGTTTTGACCCACAACACCACCAGAGTTTATATCATCTTTGTTGCTGATTTCTATTGTAGCAGTTTGCTCCCCTTGGGAAAATGCTGAATGATGTCCAACAGGTGGCAGACAGAAGTTTCTATTGAGGTTGTGAGATAAGGTTCTCCCGGAGCCCGGGAGCTGTCGACGTCTAGCACCACGGCTGCTACTGGAATGTTCGGAAGAGGGTGGACGAGGAATTTTTTTCTTAGGCTGAAATGTATTCAGATACTTAGTATATGTACAAATTCACATAAATATATTTGATACATAAAAATGCTATTATGAAAATTAAGGGTTAAGTGATTATACAAAGAGAACTTGAACAAACCTTTTTAGTAAGAGTCAATTTCTCCATTTTCCCTCTAAGCTGCTTCATTTTTTCTTTCAGTTGTTCATTTTCCTCGAGTTTCTCCTTAGGAGGTGCCTCTTCCTCCTCCTCCTGGTCATCAAAATTGTACATCGAGGCCCCACTACAAGGAAACATTACACTTCAGTTTCAAAATGATCTTACAAAATTACAAGGTAAATTTTTGAACTGTTAACTATTGGGAAAAAAAATAAAAACAAAAAAATTAATTAACATGTTTACACTGGATAATGATAGTAAAATGCTAAAAATACCAATGTTTTTCATACATGCACAAGAACACTATGTTAAATGTCAAATCTGTCATGAGAAAAGTTATCAACCATATCTTAATTTACTGTATTCTTTATAATGGTATCTTATTAATTCTTAATAATTCAAAAATATAAATTTCTTTTCAAGCATTTTTTTTAAATTCAAATACTACTATATTTCATATAAATGAGATGCAGGTTATTCCTATGTTGTCAGGTTTGTCTAAAAATACAGCACTAAAAGTCATACAATCTAAATATCTATTTGCGAAATTTAACATTTATAAGGAAAAAATTACACAATATTTCCCTTACTAGTTTAGAGAAAACTTTGAAATAGCAACATACATATTGACTTTTTTCACCAGCATTGGAACAGCTCCCTGAGGCAATTTCATTTTTATTTCTAATCCTAAGATGTGATTTCTATCTGAGCCACAAAAATTAAAATTCAGTAACACAGCCCAAGTGAATCATTTTCCTACATCCATTCAATTACTGTCCCCAAAAGACATAAGCATCATTCCAAGAATCATTTCCTTGCAACTATCATCCTTTATGAAATTCCTGTTCCACAGTGAGCTTTAAATCCTTTCATGTAGATGCAAAAAACAACATTAAAAATAAGCCCATCTACGCCAGTTTAATGACCTATTTTGGCTAGCTAATTTAAACGATTTGGCTGTCAATCTTTTTACCTGTGCCGATACCCTGTAAATCTGTGTGTGGGATCATTCAAATCACACTTGTGGCTTTGTTTGCGCCCAGGTATTGTGCGTGCTTTAGTGTCTCTGCCAGTAATGCCAGTATGTATGTGTATGAATTGAATGGCTGTTTTTAAGTAAAATAAGTGTCTGCTGTCAAAATAAAAGTACCATTTTTTGCTCCCAGTAAAATTACACTAAATAAAGCCTGTATAATTGGAGAAATAAAAATTTGGAACAAGCTAAAAAAAATTGACCATGTCTGTCTCTCTTTTCATCTCTACACTGCTAAAGGCTATTGCATGGACTTAAATGATATCTTTTACTTCATTTTTTTTTTTGAATCACACTAACAAATATTTAAGACTTTCATAAGTGGATTATAACAAATGGCATAGTTCATATATGTACCTGAAGATTTCAAAATTAAGATACACTAACTTTTTGTCCCCCTCTTATTGAGACTTTTTACGTGTTGTTTCAGAATAATTGATAACAAATATAATAAAGTAATATTGTCACTGCTGGATCCAATATCAATACATGTACATCTGACATTGTTTCAAAATGCTTCTATAAACAATACTGATACTTTTTTTTTGTAAGAAACACCTAACAGAGATCTATAATTCACTCCAAATTATGGACAGTATACATTCAGCTACAGGATAAAAGAACATAGTCGTTTTCAAATGGAGAAAGTTACTCTCACAGAGAGCATATATAAATTTGTAAATATCACATTTATAAGGCTAGGCTACATTACATTTATAGCAAATATCTTTCTACATAAACCAGAAAAAAGCCTCATATTTATTAGTCATAATTAGGAAATGTTAATTATTTTAGTTTTTTTAACATACACATCCTTTAATTTCTAACAAATTGAAGTGCCATATTAATACACCCAACCTGGGTCCACACAGCATGTTAATTTATCATCCTTTTGACTAGACAATTTAGCATTCAAACAAATCTGCACTGACACAATGACATCATCAGTGCTGGGTGTCAACATCATTTCTACATTTGAGATTATAAGTTAACAAATTTTGCAGAACAAGTTCACTAGCATATATGGCAATATTGCAATACCAAATCTTTCTAGACCTGTTAAACTCCGATGCAAAATATATATACATGAACATACTTGAAGCTTTGTACTGGAAATTTCCTTGAAAAACTCCACTGATTACCAATTTGTAGAAAGAAAAGCTGTGAACTAGGGTCAATATATGATACCAAGTTGTGCTAAGTGATAAGTTGGCTATATATATATATAAGACATAGAGCCAAACACTTATCAACCTAAGCAAATTAATAATTAATAGATTTTCCAAAAAAAAAAAAACCCCCAAAAAAACCCACCTTTCTATGTTTAAATCTATCGTGAGTCACAGAATTTTCCTTAAAATGTAACAGCAAAAACCACAATGTATCTTGCTCAAAGATAAACCAACAAGCATCTCGTACTCAGTAACTTATTTACCTCAGTGATTCTGAGAGCGGGGTAAGGGTTCCATCTCCTCGATCAACTACACGGAAAAAATTCAACTGGTCCCCTTCTCTAAACACCAGCAGAGTGACTTGTCGATTGCCTGGTATTTTCTCCCAGATTTCATCTCGATTTGCTTCTACATATTCTGCCATTTCTCTTAGAGTAGGATCTTCCATTGGAACTAAAATGTGAAGCAAGGAATAAATCAAGCCTGTTTACAAACATGGCCAGGTATACACCAGGATAATATTATATACATGACCAATTATCTGCAATAATTCAAGGAATCAGTTTTAAACCTTTTATAACTTGTGTGACTTTCTTTGCTCAAGTAGATTTTAACAAAACATGAAATTCAAATCATTTATTTTTGCTAACATAAGTGAGGTTGACTTTGTATGATTTTAAGTTTGAAAGCAAATAAAAAAAATATTCCAACTGCCTGATCAAACTGTTAAGTAAATTCAGAAAGCTTTTGATGTATAAAAAGAAAACAATTTTACATGAAAACATTTCTTTTTTAAGAACTTCTTATAATTCATAATTTAAAACAAAAACAAATTGCTGAAAATATTGGATGGTTATTGAGCTTGCATGCATAATAAAAAGTATTTTGTTTTGCTGTGAAATCTAAGATGTCAATTCTGAACTTTGATAGCTCAACATTTACTGATAGTCCCACCCATGATGAGAAACTGAACTTTACCTGTGTGTTCAACACATTACATATATACATTGACATTTAATAAGTAATCCCCATCACTTTGATGAAATTAATCTGGATTATGATATGAGAATGACTCTATACAATTTCCCATAAATGGCAGCATGCTTACTTCTCCTAGTATTTATGGGACCTCCACGCATGGCCAAGACAAGCTTCAGGGTGGCGCCGTCATGAATGCTATAGTCATGTAGACAATAATCATCCTCGAGCTCCATGGCCTGCCAGATTAAATGCTGCTGTCCAATGGGAATGCCTACAAGTAATAAGTGAAAGGTAGCCAGTTATAAATGATTAAAGTATGCCATAATACATTATCACATAAAAATTATCTTGGAGCATTCTGAATGATCAAAGGACATTAAATGCATGACCAAATAATGTTTCTATCTTTAATATTAATAATAGTCTGTTATATTCTTTCAGCGTTTCACTCAGAGTGTATCTGAGATTCATGCATTGTCATTTAAAAATAACATTACATTTACTTCAATCAAACTGGCTCCGTTGTGTTTGTTTTAATAATTTAATGCATTTTTTAATAACATCATGATTTTATCATGAACATGCTTTCAAATCATACAATTATCATAAAATTTCAATTCCAGAAAACCAAGTTTTATGAATCTATTAATAAAGATGGATGTTATTTATGGATGTTATTTATTCATTTCTGTACCCTGTGCCTCGGAAAATAAATGGTGTTATTCAGACAAGAATCATAGAATGGGGTAATGTCCTTTTGTTCCATGGTTTGTGTAGAACATGCATTAATAACAATCAAGTGCAAAATAATTCCTTTTACTAAAGTCTTCAATGAATTTGGTATAGATGGCATTTTTGGCTGAATCACTGGTCACTCTTGAAAATGTATATATATGTGCTTTCATGAAACTGTATGTCAAGGATTTCCAAAAATTCTACCAAATTCAGCTTAAATCATATGCATGGTTCTAAAAAAAAAGTTGAGTAGGGGAACTGCAAATAAGAGCATCCCCTCGCAAAAGAGAACATTGATCCTGATATAAATTGTTTCTTGCGTAACTTCCGTTATGCACACAGTCACCTACACACAAAAGCATGTTACTATATCCCCTCCAACTTTGTTGCAAGGGGATAATTAATAATCTTTCAGTACTTGTGGATCTGATAATTTTTCAGAACTGTAGATGCATGCACAAAATGGGTCACCAATAATTTGAAATGTGTCAAATCCAGTTTTTATGGTTGGACCACATGTAAAGTTAACTTGGGGTGGAAAGATAAATTGGTATACTGCAACATAGGAAAAAAAGACAATATTTTGGTACTGAAGACCCAATACAAGTATATGCCAATATATCACATTTTCAGCTCTTTCTATTCATTTTTGATGGATCCGATTCTTATGAAATAAAAATTGTAGTTTTACATCTCAAATGCTGCACATATAAACTGACGCTTGTAAAATTGAAGTGTTTGTGAGACCCAGTATCAGTTGTTCACAAAGATGGCATCTAACGAGTATTATTTCTTTGTTAATATTTGAGGAAATAATCTTAATCTGTTATCCAAACATATTGTGATAGCAAGTTTCCCATGTCAGAACAAAGAGACACCAAAAATGTTATGAAAGGTGATACATCCATGTACATATTGTGGTACAGTCTCAGTGTATCATGATATATTATGATATGCTTCAGCTGTTTTGTTTCACCCAAGTAACTTGATGTGTACATTAACTTAACCCTAAGATTAAACAAGATTAATTTAACCCACAATATTTAATCCATGTTGAGTATATCCTGCAAATCCTATCATTTAACATCTATGACACTAAAGTGAAATAATGATGTCATAGACAATTCTGGTTATATTTTAATCCATGGCCAATGTGGTTGTGTGTCAACTTTACTCAACTGGACATCTTAACTAAAACCCTTCATAGACATGGGGGATGTTGAAAATATTAATGGAAGAAAAATGTACACATAAATTAAGTCGTACTTTCCACAGTGGATTTTGTTTGTTTGATTTTTAGATAAATGTTACAGTAAAATCTACTGATAATAAGGCTGTCTCAATACAGCCTAATCTTGCGACTTTGTGTATTCCATAACAAAGGGTCAAGGCCAATTAACAAAAGAGACCGCAGGGTCTAACTTGGCTTTCAGTTTTACATATACCCCATTTATTGATGAAATCCTTTGTGTTTACATGGTCCGTTTCTTTCATCCTGTTGACATATACAGTCAATAGAAAGCAAAGTGGGGATTTACTTTATATATACATTATTTTTACATAGCTTCAACAGCACAGTTTTACCTTCAAGTCTTTGAATCTTTGCTTTCACAGACATAATGGTTTCAAAAGGTGACACTCGCAACTCAAAAAAGGTTCCCGTTAATGTTTCAATGAACAGTTCCATTTTGATGAATGTTTAACTGGAGGACAAAACTATGGTTTACTACTGCCGTTTCATGCCCTCGCGAAGCAAAACATTATTTTTTGTCAACAAAAGCTCAAGTAATTGCCATTTTTATCCATTAGATATATTCCTCAAACTCCATGCACTTCAACGCTCAGGATGTCGTTGTTTATTTCATCACTGAACAAAGCATCGTCACTCCCATTACACTCATAAACACGGTCTATGATTCACAAAGATGGTGGCAAAATTTTCTACACAGGAATTCGAGGTCTTTTGAAGTGCCCGTATGTTGTAGTTACTGACAACAATTTATCTTGTGACGACATTTTTATGTGTAAACACATACACAATTTTCGATGACATCACAAGTTTCATGGCTTAGAAAGTTACCTGCATTCAAAGAAACAATTCATGTTTCAGCCTTATGGCACTCTTACAGGTAATGATCATGTTACTCAAATATTTAAGCCTTTTGAAGCATTAAAGTCAACAAATATATGATACAGGACAGGACACCAGCGCCCGAGGGAAGAAAGCAGTATAGGTCAAAGGGTTATTGGATAGAGATAATTCGAACGATGTAAACAAAACGACCGAATCAGCCTGAAAATCAGGCGAATGGCTTTATAATTAAACATGATATATAGAAAAAACGAAGGTTTAATTGCTTTTCCCGAATGGATAACATTATTGATACTAAATCTATATAATGAAAAGGCCTTCTATAAATAAGAGCAACAGCTGAGCAATGAAGATCATGCTTAAGATTTAAATTAAAAGTTTTCCTAATGGCTTGATAATGAAACAGAGGGTCTAACCAGTCTAGACGAACTCCAAAAACAGCGTTTCCGGAAGTAAGAAATTGAGGCTGAAAAAGACTCCGAAAATAGAGTCCGCGCATGCTCACACACAAAAAATGGCGATTTTTCGGCAAAAATGATGTGGTGAAAAATACTCATTTCTGATTTTAAAAAAATACAAGCCGGGTGTCTTTAAAATCAAATGAAAGCACCTTTATTGTAGGAACGACATAAAATTTAAATCAAGGAGACAATAAATCACATAAGAAAATAATTCTTACCGGCAGTATTGAATTCGATGTCGTATATCCAATTTACTAATATGCAAGAGTTTGAAGCGATAAATAAGTCAATATCCACAAAATAATTTAATAAATGTAATTATCCATTCAACAAAAATTAAAGTCACAATGCACTAAATACAGCCATTATGCAGGCGTATACTTGAAGAAAGCGAACGACAATCCATCGTTTGTTTACATCGGACGCCATTTTGCCGCAATGCTTGATGGAGCCAAAGACTTCGTTTTCGGAGTTCACACCGTGTTTGGAGTTCGTCTAGACTGCTAACAACCCATTGATATGCATACACTGCTCACTTGGTATTAAAGCCTGATTCTGAGATTGGCTGTCTCCATCTCGGAATTAATTCTTCTAATAATGAAGAGAACAGGAGAAATGCTTAATATCAGGTGGATGTGGTTATGATTAATTTTCATTGTTTTAATGTCATGTGGACGAAAATGAATAGTGAAAAGGCTTGTATGTTACAGTGCCTGGTCTGTATCAAGCTTAGGCACTCCCCAGCTAAATTTGTAAATAAAAATATATCTTCTACACTATACATGTAATAGTATATATAATGGATATATTTTTATTTACTAATTGAAAGTTAGGGAATGCCTGTGATATCAAGATGAAGGTTCATGGTGGTAATTGATCACTGTGTCCATGCATGTACATGTGTATGTCATTCAATCACTTTTTTGTGGTGCAAATAACTTGAGTACCTTTCAAGCTACTTTGGTGGAGGATGCCTACAATTTTTTGAACCATTTAATCAAATTCAAAGTCAAAGGACACATTTTTGTGATGCAATAATTTGTAGTTTTTGTTGTTACAATATATCCTACAGACTTAAAAATTCATATATTAGTATATTGAAAGATAGAGGGAGACACCTAAAACTTTTGGGGTCACTTGGTCAAAGGTTCAAACTCAGGATTATTAATACAGTCAAACTTTGTTATCTTGAATTCAATGGGACAATTAAGAAAAAAACTTCAAGGTATCCAAGGATTCAAGATATCCAGGATAAAATACTTAAAAAATAAGGGATTTGGACTTCCAAATCACTTCGACATATGCATGGTATTGAAGATATTACTAGTGCTCAATATACTGAAATTTAACTGTTATTGATACTGTATGACCAGTATGATGCAATAATTTGGAAAATTTGTAATCTGTAACTTCCTATTTAATGAATAGGTGAAGAATGATCTAAAAAAAAAAATCCGTAGAGTTTGGGGTCACTCAATCTGTTAAAGGCCAGTGTCAAAGATTGAGAATATTTGTATGAGCATTGTATGCAATAACTTTAGCATTTTGTAACTTTTCAACTTTATATAGATGGAAAATGTGGTGGAAAAGACACCTATTTTAGGGGCACTTGATCATTTTAGGTCAAGATTGTTTAAATGATTCAAATTTTAATGTAATCTTTTTAGCTCACCTGAGCCGAAGGCTCAAGTGAGCTTTTCTGATCACATTTTGTCCGTCGTCCGTCCGTCCGTCTGTCCGTCTGTCTGTCTGTCTGTCTGTCCGTCTGTAAACTTTTCACATTTTTGACTTCTTCTCAAGAACCACTGGGCCAATTTTGACCAAACTTGGTACAAAGCATCCTTGGGTGAAGGGAAATTTAAATTGTTAAAATGAAGGGCCAAGTTCCCTCACAAGGGGAGATAATCAAGAGAAGACAAAAATAGGGTGGGGTCATTAAAAAATCTTCTTCTCAAGAACCACAGGGCCAGTAAAGCTGAAACTTATATGGAAGCATCCTGGGGTAGTGTAGATTCTAAATTGTTCAAATCATGACCCCCG